TAGTCCGACCTTGGAGGGATCCACGCTGGCCTCGGCCTGGCAGAGTGCCTAGAATTACAGGTGCGAGCCACCACGCCCGGCCTCAAATTCTTTAAAATCCCCTCATGAATCCATCACAACCCTCATGTAGACCATCTGTGACATGTTTGGACTTTCTGTTTTTGCCCCAATTTTTCCTTTTTTAAAGTACCAGTTACTTTAGGACAAAAATTTACTATAGAGGATCCTTTCTATACAAAAGTATTTCCGGCCAGGCGTGGTGGCTCACGCCTGTAATCCTACTCTGGGAGGCCGAGGCGGGGTAGGATAGCTCGAGGTCAGGAGTTTGAAACCAGCCTGAGCAAAAGCGAGACTCTGTCTCTACTATAAAAAGAAAGAAATTAATTGGCCAACAAATATATATAGAAAAATTAGCCGGCATGGTGACACATGCCTGTAGTCCCAGCTACTTGGGGGGCTGAGGCAGGAGGATTGCTTGAGCCAGGAGTTTGAGGTTGCTGTGAGCTGGCTGACGCCACAGCACTCACTCTAGCCTGGGCAACAAAGCGAGACTCTGTCTCAAAATAAAAACAACAGTATTTCCTTTTCTTTTTTACCTTCCTTATTAAAAATATGTCCTTATATTTTTACAACAACAAAAAAGAATTTTGTATGTGATCAAGTTGGCTATAATTTTTATTTCTGGTTAAAACAGCAAAATTTCCTGTTCTCAGTTATGGGACTTATGCTTGAAACTTCTTAAATTTCTGTTCTTGTACACATGTTTAAACTAATGGGCAAAATACATCAAAAGCTCAGAACTCAACTTCCGGTCCCAGGCTCTTTGGCAGCCTCGGGTTACAGTGTAGACATGGCCAAGTCCAAGAACCACACCACACACAACCAGTCCCAAAAGTGGCACAGAAATGGCATCAAGAAACCCCTATCACAAAGATACTACGAATCTTGTTTTTGTGTGTTTTTTTTTTTTTAGTTGGAGTGTCAGGCTTGTTATCTTATGATGTCTGGTCTCTGAGAGGCATATCTGTCACAAAACTGCTGGAGCTGGCCCTTGCCCTTCGGGTTTTTTTGCTGGTTAGTTTTATACTTTTGGGCTCTACAGTTATCCAATCACAGTTTTGCACCAAAAGTCAGGCTCATTCGTTGTTAGTCCATCTGTGTGGCAGACCATACAGATAGTGAATGCTGCCTCAGATCCTCGTGAATAGTATTCCATCGAATTGAAATGACGCTATTTGCCTAGACGGAATCGCAGTAGTTGTACGCCGAAAGTCAAGACATCAGGATCTATATTTTCATCTTTCTTTAGATGAATCAGACACTGGAGTCCAGCGTATGTCCCCTAGGTTCTCACCTCATCTTACCATCTACGAATAGTAAAGTCAGCCAATCAGGAATGTATGTCTCACAGAAGTTCTCTTCATTTACAGTATATATTGGTAGTCAACCATCAGAAGTATGAGCCTGTGACCTGGGCGTGTGGCCTCAAGCCCTGACTATTAGCACTTCTCGGTGAGGTGAGGGCGGGCAGGATGCTCGGAGGTCCAGGCTAGATTGTCGAAATCAGCCTTGAGCAAAGTACGTGTGGCACCACGCCGGCTACTCTACTATAATATGAACAAGACCTATATCTTGTGCCAACTGCTGTAACCAAACAGTTTGGAACTCCTTACGTGTTCATCGATATGCGAGCAGTGTAAAGATTCTGTCGCACGGGGCACCTCAGGTGCTCACTTGATGCTGTACGTCCTGCTACGTATCTATTGCGCGTGTCATGAGGGATGGTGAGTATCTGTGTGTCTGTCATGTGAAAGTTATGAGGGGGTGGTGAGCTAGATAGAGCATGACGTCGCTACGGCCACACTCACACTCTTGTCCTGACAGAGGTTCTGCATAGAAGCTCGATGGATTTGCCGGTAAGTGTCATACATCATAATGCAAAATAAACGTAGTATGACTACATGATGAGTCAAATTTGCCTACTCGTGCAGATAATATAGTCAAGAAACCTGCATCTATCTATTTAGGGGCACGCTTTGAGGACAGATAAGAGAAGCATTCGTTGCGCGGTTGTGTGTTGTGTACGCCACCCTGACTTTCTATTCTCCTTTCGATGCGTGTTATCGTATTATGTTTCATATGGACATGTGAGAGATCAACTTACTAAGGGTATAACTAACTTATCAGGCTTGATTCCCAAAGTAAGCTATGAATACATTTTGGGCTTTAGTGAAAAACCTACCAGCATTATAATTATGTTGGTTTGCTCATTTCTCTTATCTGCTTTAGAAAGTGAAATTATTCGTTACTTAGCACGTGTAGTTCTTCAGTTCATGTATAGTTACCCTAGAAATTCATTCGGGTATGATTGCAAATACAACAAGAAATATTGAAAGATTTTGTTATATGAATGTCTTGATTTATTTCTTCTTTGTAGCTTTTTTGTTAATAAATCTTAAAAATGATCCATGATTTTGAAATAATTCAGAGTCTGACCTCTCACAAGGAGCTTCCTTATTAAATAATAACCCAAGCTACATAGCTTTCCATCTAACTTGTCTTGACACTGAAACTGATGAGTCTACTGATGTTTGGGAAGATTGCCATCGTTTTATGTCAGGAAAAATTTAAATCCTAATTCTTTAAATATTAGTCCAAGAATCTCCCCTTCTGTAACTCTGCC